ACCCACTACATGTGACATGTCAAGATTTTGACATCATGACATATATGATGACAGACAACCAGAAAAATAATAAACAATGTTTATGGAAATAATTTTGAAGATTTAAAAGTGAAAGAGTATAATTCAAACGAAACAAAATTGACGGATGGCGAGATTAACGTACATTTCATTAAATAATTACTTGTTGGTGAGTATTCTATTACTATTCAATACCTAAATAAATGTTCCTAATTCAATATTACTTATGTTTCAGATATCTACCTGTAAGAAAATCCCAGGGAGTTTGTTTAAACTATTGAAGATAGAAGTTTAGCCAAGATGCTAGAAATTGAAATATCCTTTTTTATTCATATAATTCATTGTAGGTATACAAATAAATATTAATAAATGCATACTCAAACAGATCTAAACCATTCATTTCTGTGTTCAGTATTTAGGTTGTATGAATGTTACAACTTATCTTTATTAAAATCAAAGATCAAGTGAGCATTGTTTTTGACGGAACACGTGTGTTGTTTTTTCAAATTTAACCTCGAAAATTAATAAATACTAAAAAAGTACCTTACTAAATACATTTAAATAGTAATTATTAATATACTTATCTTATTGGTTTTTTAAATATAAACAGGTACCTTAAATATATTGTATTTATTATTATCAACAATATTCTATTCAGTGCCATTTATACCAAATACAGCTGATTTATCTTTAATCATCATCATACAAGGCGAAGACTAAACATTTTCATTAATAATTAGCACCTCAATAATTTAAGCCGAACACTTATTTCGAATAATAAGAAATGAACTGATAAACATTGATAAACATCGTCCCGTTCAAACAATAAAACCTTTAACGAAAATTAACCCATCAAAACATCACTCTACCAGAAAAAAACATGTCAACTTGAAGTAATCTCAATTACAGCTACACAAAGACCCACAAAACAATCAATAAACCCCCGAAATTCCGAATGGAATCTTTGTCACCGTATTTGGTATACAGGGCCGGTATAACATTAATTTGAAACTAGCGACAATACAATTATGGGTGGCCTTTTAGTGCACCCTAAACAAAATTGATTTAGAAGGTGCACATTGGAATGTTTTACATGTCTAAAATAATAAAGTGCTAATTTATTCTTCTTCTATCATTAGGTTAATACTGTCCATTCAACAAAGATGAAAAAGAGCCCTTGAAGATAAAAATCCAAAAATGATCTGTCCACAGTTATCAATTTTTGAAAACTTCTATATATAGCCATACAGAAACCAATCTGGACTAATGGGGATGTAGCAAATCATTGAAAACCAAAATATTACAAACGATTCAATCTAAAACACTTCGAACGCTAAGCTAATGCTTTATGGTTCATAAGCAACCATACACTACAAAATGCTCTTTTGGCATTCCAGCCATTAATGAAGTGATACAGATGTTAGCAAACAAAAACGAAACTAGCAATGAAAATGATATGAATCTACTGCTCCCTAACCTATACACTGATCCTTTGGAACGCAGAAGACTAAAACATCAGTGGCCTGAAGACCTCTTAGAGTAAATCCCAGGGTCACATCGTCTCATGCCACCTAACAAGAAACCAGGGGTTCGGGGATGGTCTTAATAATTCGTAGGGGGATTTTTGAGATTTCTTTTCGAATTTTCAAATTATTCTAATACATAGTAGTTTGTAAATTTCCAAACAAATCTTTTTCAGATGTTTTGCGCTTTCTTTTCTCCAACTTATTCTTAGTTCTCCTCTATTTTTCATTTTGTAGAACTTCACTTGTTTACCTTGGTTCATGTGTGATCATCCCTTGCTTTATCCATTTGCTATTCTTTTTCCTCATTTACCAATTATTGTTCCTAAATATTATATTTTATCCATTTACTTTTCCTTTATTCGTTAGATAGAACGATAACCATTTTGTCAATGTTATTTATCTTTATGCCTTTCTCTTCCAGCTTCTCTATCCATTACTCTTTTCGAAATATCCTTAAATAATATCCCCTTTTTAGCAACTTCCTTAAATACTTCAAAATACTTCCTACAAAAAGGGCCTCATTTTCTTATAATCGAGCCGACCCTGTATTCACGCATTATTTTCACACGCAAGCATTCTATAAGGCCCTAAAACCCCTTTTTTTGCTGACCATCTGCGGAAGTTCGTTAGAGTTTTGAATCCCCGCTAATCTCACGGGCTATCTCTGATGGGATCGGAGATAATCCGGGGGATCGGACGCCATTGTGGCCGGAATCCAATATGGCGGACGGCAGGTGAGGGGTTAAGTTGTCCCCGTTTCGCATTCTGTGTGTGTGTATATGTGCAAAGGGCCAAGCGTTGTACGTGGCGGGTGAAAAGTTGGCAAATAGGAAGAGGGTTGGCAAATGTATGAAGAGGGTTGGTAGTTGGTACAGGGACAGATGTGAATAGTTGGGGGGTAAGAAGAGAGCATGCTGAGATTGATAGGATGCGGGTATATAGTGAGAAGTTTTATGAGAGGAACATTTAATAACTATTAAATAAATGAACACCATTGTTCCATTTGCGTATACACTTCAAAAGGCGGATTTTAATTAACATTTCGAGAATACCAGATGCTATGTTGGATTATTTACTTATCAATTAATATTAATATGTATGTTATTTTGGCAAGTTTGTACAACATTTTTAAAATGTTATAGCATAGCAGAGTTATATAGGGCGTTTTATTTGGGATATTTATATCTTCGCACCTTATCATAGTGGTGTTTCTACTAACTTTCGTGGTTTTTTTAACAACATTGACTGAGTTCTGTCAAAAACATTAAAATATACAGTAAAGGCATTACTATATATGAAATATAGAAGAGTAAAAGTATAATAAAAAGAAAATAAGATTGAGATATAACGAAAAAAGGCTAAGATATGCAATAACAATAATAATAATAATAAACAGATGAAGATGAAAAGATGAAGTTTAGCTTAGACTGATTTACAACTTAACCTCTTAAGGAAAATTAGGGTCAAAATATAACACATTAGAAAAAAAAACAGAAATGCTATTATTTATGTTTAGTCTCAATAACTAAAAAATATACTGACTATTAGTTTGACAGAATTGTAACTTATTTAAAATTTTAAAAATTATAGCAGTCGGTTGATCAAAATATGAACGATGATTGGTGGATTTTATTTTTTGTAGTGTTCTCACTACCTAGAATGGATATGAAATATATTCGTTCAGTTGAAGGGAATACCATACTTTTTCGTTTTGTAATATGTGCGTGGATAAGCTAATATCAATGTGGGTGTAGAAAAACATATATAAAAAGATTTTCAAAACCAATCCTTATAACTTATAACAGACATTTTTTATGATCATTGTCTATTATACAAAGAGTATTTTAGTTTCTTTAAATTAAGCAAGTTTTAATAATTAATTTTGACAGTCTATTGTACTCTTTACATGAAATATATATACGAAAAAGATAATTGCATGATCTGTTATGATTAGGTCAGTCTATTTCGAGTAGGTAATTAATTATTATTAGAAAAAGTCTCCAATTTGTTATCATGATAATAAGTTTTTTGGATAAGTAAATCTTTATGAACTTAGTTCTATAAATGTAAAAGCGAAAGTTATTAAAAGCTAACCCACCCTAATCTTATGATCAAATTTGCGAATTTCATAAGTAAAACGTAGTCAACTATTCTGAATTTATTATAAACGCGTAGAATCGGATTGGAGTTCATAAAAAAATGAGCGATTCACAAAGTTTAATTTGTTTAGAAAGCAGGACTTGGTCTTAAGGGATTGGACGAGCTTCAGTATATTTATGTTTACTGACACGAAGATCAGAATCTAACCATAGACCTAGATTTTTTCTTCATTCGTAAAATGAAGAAGAGCAGCACCTAATTTAATTTGCAATTCTTTTTATGATGAATAATTATTTGGAATATATTTTAAGGTAGTGAGCTATAAAAATATCAAGCACTTAAATAGTCATTAATACGTTTTTGAGCACTAAGTGAGTATTCATTATTAAACAAGTGATATTACTGGATATCATCTACATATTGATTAATCACACAATTTTTAACAATAGTATGAAAATTTGCTATGTATAGTGAGAAAATCAATGGACCTAGAATGAATCATTTACTTTGAATAGTAGCTTCCAAAACAATTTTATGAGTACCAATGCTAAGATAATTTGATATTAAGCAAAACATAATTATAAGAAAGACAAAAAAAAATTCATCTAAAGTGTCAAATGCTTTGCTATAATCCAGAAGAAGGTCATCCATGATAAACATTCTCACAGTGGTCCTATTATGGTGCCTTCTTCGGTGAGATTTACCTGGTGTTATTATGTTTTGTCCATATACATATATTTGCTAATTTGATCTTTAACATTATAAATGCTGGCGCAGATACTTCAACCAAAGAAACTAAATTGATCTGTTTCAAACAGAATAAAGAACGCGTTGAGTTGTTAGATATATGTTTGTTTTTATAGACACGCTATAAATTCAAACTTTTGGGTGCTTTAATAGCGTTGTTTGAGATGCAAAATAGAAAAATAGCAGGAAACTAGCATAAAATAGAATAATTAAAAGAAATTTTGATTCTTCTCCAGTGACGGGTAACAAAAAATGCATGGACATACAAAAAAAATCTTGTATATAATAGTTATTTATGCAACACGTGTGTCAATCAAATGAGTCAAAATAGGGACTTTACACCCGAGTTGCATACAATATTTTTTTTACTACCGTACACATTATACACTAATTTTAGAAATATAAAAGTTGTTTTTCACTAAAATAACTTTTTTTCACTTTACGCGTTTGTGAAAAACAGTACAACTTTACGCACTCCGTGGAGTGCATAAAGTATGTCCTTTACTCACGGTAGTAGAAAAAAGTGTTCTAAATCGGTTTAAATAAAATTCTATTAAAAAAACTAATTATTTCATATTTTTTATATAATTTTATTTTCTTTAATTTCAGCATCCAGAATGTCATCCTCGCAAGTGTGCAGGCCCCACTTCCACGCCCCCCTCCACCCCTGGCTCTCCGACAGCAAACCTTTGGCTCATTCGAGCCCTTGGGTGCCCTTCGGCGGCGGGGATCCCGACAAGTCCCAATCGCCTAGTTCAGTTCCTGCCCAAGCTCACAATATCTTTTCCTTCCCGCCCACTCCCCCGAAAGATTCGACGCCCGACTCCGTGGCCCCCTCCGGGGCCGGTGGTCCGGAATACCAAAGTGCTGTGTCGGCGGCCATGGGCGCCTTCATGCACGAGAATCCCCAAAGTTGTGCGCTAGATGTCAAGCCCTCTGGAGTCGGTGGGGCCAATAAGCAACGGGAAGGTAATTATCTAGTATATATGTAGTTTTCTATTCTAATCAAGTAGGACACTATACTTTCTCCATCATCACCACCAGAAATAAAGAATTTGATGGCTAAGAGGACAAATAATGTGTGTCCAAAATCGTCATTTTGAGTAAAAACGATTTAAAAATTGGATGTGAATATGGCGAGCCGTATAATTTGTATTAATTGTAACTTTACTAACTGGTAAACTGTTTTAATTGGAAATATAGTATATTTTGGAACATTTCACCCCGAAGGACATAGAATCATACATACCAAAAATGGACATACAATATTTGTCCTCTTAGCCATCGACATAATTTTCATATACCTGTTTTAATTTATGTGATGCCGTATAATTTGTACATTACGTAATTTCTGATGGGGTTTGTATCTATTTTCAATTACTACGTGCTTTTTTCGTACGAGCTTAGCTTTAGGGATGAATCATAAATAGTATTATTATTAGATAATATCATAAAACTGCTCCTTTACATAGAAGTTCTACGGCACTAATCTTTGACGTAAAATTTTTCAAGTATTTACTTTTTCTTAGTATAGATGTACCGGGTGTCCAAATAAGAAAGGACGGCTATAGGATACAGCAACTAGAAAGAAGCATTTTGGGAACATATTTTTTATAATATAAGTGACCAAGAGAAATAATTGGAAAATAATTGTCTAAAACATTTAATCTAAAATATTTAATCTAAAATATTCAGTCTAAAACGTTTAATACGAAACATTTTGTCTAAAATATTTAGTCCAATATCAATTAATCTAAAAGCTAATAGATTTGCATTTGATCTAAAGGCCTTTTGTCTAAAATGTATCGGACCTAAAAGGACATTGGTCTAAATTAAATTTCTTCAAAAAACAATTATTCTAATTACTATGAATTAAATTAGAGAAGGACCTCTTGGTGACGTTGTCAACTACATTAAATTTGTAGGCTGGCTCATAAGCTAGGAGGATGCACAATGGGTCTAGTGAAGCCTAAATGCCGTGGGGTAACCTACCCTCCACACGCTACAGATACAAATACTACAAATTAAATAGATTTTATACTTTAGATAATTTAATATATACTCAAAAAAAAAAAAAACAAATTGACTTAACTATTTTCAGATTTGAAAGGAAATAATAATTAAAAATATCAAAATATTAACATAAAGAAAAAACATTGAACAATAATAAAAAAAATATCCAAAGACATCAACTAATAAGGGAAATAGTGGCCATCAAATGAAATAACTAATTCTTTTGAAACTGCTACCAACTGTTCATCGTTTGTTTCATTAAAATCGCAGCTTAGCAACTATCTTTCTAATACCTTGATTAGTATCCTTATATTTTTTCATAAAGTTGTTGGTATCATCATTCTATTCTTTTATTTATTTTAAATGTTTTGTGGTTTCTTTCTTCTGAAGTGCTCTAATTAATTGTCACAGACGGCTATTTTGCATCGATTATTTTTTTAGGGAAGAGTACCGTCCCTGAATACGATTGTTAGTAGTAGGCAAGTTACTTTAAATTGTATCAAAACATTTCTGATATTGATATTTCCCCAACGAACAGGTCAAACTTTCAGGTACTTGCCTGGAAATACTCATAAAATTTTTAATCCGAAACCCGCGTAAGTATAGCGTAAGTATACGTCTTTCTTTTTGTTAGCTGAAAGCATATAAATGCATGGAACTACAATTTGGCCAATTCCTCTAAGTATAGAAAATGGTTGTGCAAATAGCGGTGGAGTCATATAGAAAGTTCCATCCATATACCAAATAGAAGAACTTAATAACATATTTAGACATACTCACAAGATAATCCAAATTTTAGAAAATGCTCGGGTTTGCTTCCAGAATCAAAAAGTCAGAATGTGGTTTCCATTCGCTGTAAGCTGCTATTCTTCTGGTATTTTAACAACTTCCAAACAAAACAAGAGCAGTAAAATTATTTTCTCCACGTGTACTACTGAATGTATTTCTTTCGAACCCACTTATAATAACAGAAAAAAAAACATTCTAGCTCTTGGGATTAAAAGAAAATTCTGACAAACTCCTATGTATTTTACACGTATTTCATTTTAACTCTAGAAATAGAATGGTCATTATGTAATAGCTACTGGCTAATGGCTGTGAATACCACGCTGGAATCGTAGACAGTCATGAATTTCATGACTGACAGTTCTACGTGACGTATTAGTGGGAATATATTGATTGTTATATGGAATTTGGTAATATTCCTCTTGAACTGACAAATTATGTAAATATTTTAAACAAAAACTTGCGGAACTTAATTTACATTAATTATTTCATTTTAGAATCTTCCACACGTATTGAATTTTCATTACAACCATGTTACACAATATACTATTATTTCACCAGAATATTCCTTATTGTTCTTTTCATATTACTGACAAGCTAAATTAGCTAAACCTTTTACACTGAAAGAGTCCAACGCTATGATTGATTGTGGAGTTTGTATAGATAATTTTGCTTTTTTTCAAATCTCCTGCAGTGAGTTTTTATTTCCATTTTTTCTGGTTCCTCGGGATGATTGTTACCTTTTACTTACATGAATTTTTTGTTTTTGGTGGCATTAAATGGTGGCATTATCTGCTAAAATTTTTAAATACCAATTTATTTTCTTTGCTTAATGAGGCTCGTGCACCTGGTGGAATTCAGTTTCCTTTTCTTGCATCTATGTTTAAGAGGAATCTCACAACTACTTTCTTTAAAGTGGATAGGGCAACTTCAATTAAGTTTGTCCCTGCTTCGATAAGAATGTACCCATATTTTGTGGTATTCGGAAATATCTTCACCGCGCAGCCCGGCATTTTAAACATTAATTTTGTTTTTCCCTGTTATATATAGAAAAATATAGTCACTACTAGCACAAAAACAAATAAATTATTAAATTATTTTACACTATTCAATCGAAAAGTGTCAAAATAACTCGAAAGTTCTTCCCGCATTAGGTCATGCGCGGTTTGAACGAATTTTGAATCGAAAGTCAGCATACCTTTAATATGTGTATCGTGACTATACGTGTTATCACGTACCAAATTAATACTGTACTGGATGTCCTTCTATATCCTTTTATATCAATTCAAAACCAGTACAGGTATTTTTCATAACAAATTTATATTTTTTTTTTGTTTTTTATTATGTTGAATTTGGCAAAATTGGTTTTATTGCAACATTAAAGATTTAGCAATTATCACAATAATCAACGGTTTTGAATTATTATTTTTTATTATTTAATAATGCCCCAATATAGAATTGTAATTAGATAAAATTTGTTTTAAATCGAAGGTGTTTTAGATACTACAGATACTAAGTGTTTTAGGTACTAAGTGTTTTAGATCAAATGAATTTAGGCCAAATCTATTTAGACTAAACGTAAATAGAATAAATGTATTTAGACCAAATGTATTTACACCAAACGTAATTAGACTAAATGTATTTAGACCCAATGTATTTAGACTAAATGTATTTAGACTCCATATATTTTACATTATCACTGCTTAGATCATTTAATATTAGAATAGTTGTTTAAGACCTTGTTCAGACTTTTTTTTGAAATGTCTGATTGTATGTATTTTACTCTCTAATGCTGTTTCTAGATCAATAAATATTCAGATGTATTTCATATATTATGTTGTATAATTCTGTATAATAAATGTTTGTAGAACTTCTATGTCCAACCATCTGTAGCTTCTTAGTATCGTTAAACACATTCTTATTTTTTTATAGGTGAATATGAAGGGGGCGCCACCTCCGGCATGTTTAATGGTAACTTTGAGGGCACCTACGGGTCTGCGTATGCCCACGGTATTCATGGGGGTGCTTATTCCCCGCAGAACAAGCAGCATCTGGGGAGTTCTGGGGGACAGGGTGTTCAGTCCCCCAATAAGCCCCGGAATAAGTCGAGAACTAGCGCGGGTAAGCGAAAAGGGGGTCCTCGGTGACGGTTAAAATATATCTTTTTTTATAGGTAAAATAGTAACAGTAAAATATTAAGCACAGTGAAATTTGGGTCACAAACAATTATAAACTATGAAAATACAATGATTTAACGATTTTAGGGTCGATTTTTTAAACTCTAAGTAAAATTACAGGTAGGTTTATTTGGCAGAATAGCGAACTAATCAACAGCCTAATCAACATTTATATAGTTACTTTCAGTGGCGGCTGGTGGCCAAAATTTTGGGGGTTCACAGTGACAGAATATAGGTATCAGTACAGATGTATGAAAAATGTTTTAAACACTGACAGTTTTTTACCTATATCTGTACCGGGATCTATATGCTGCTACTGTGAACCCCCAAAATTTTGGTCACGAGCCGCCCCTGGTTACTTTCAACTTTACTCTGAGGTGAAAAAACTTTAATAGATTTAAATAACATCGTCACTGTACTTATTGTTTTACACATTATAACAGCAGATAATGATATTGTTTTTACCTATAAAAAAAGTTATATAGACACATTTCTTTTTTAAAAATTCAAAGAAATATTTTGGATTTTCTGAAAGAAAGCTTAATAAATTATGAATGTTAACATAATGCAGTTGCAAGCAGACAAAAATAATCAAATATATTTTGGTTTTACACAAACCCATGTTTTTTATTTTGTTAAACAAATAATATTATCGACAGTAAGAATCAATTTGATATATTAAATTCTTATCATTAAAACAATATTTATATTTAAATTCTCTATTTACAGAATAAACATAAACATCTTGCAACGCCTTGTGTTAACATTGTTTTTCTCCCACATTTAAACGTTTTAAAACTGATGTTGCAGATACACGATCGATCGTTATTTTTTTCTTTTATTTTCTTTTATTTTTCTAACCAAGCTTCTAACTCTGGTGTTTGGTGCTTTTTATTTTTTATTTATTTTTGGTTGTTACTTTTTAGTTCATGGTATTCAGTGTTAATACAAAATAATATAATTTTAATTATTAGATTTTAATAAAATAATTTGACAAATGCTTCTAATAGTAATTATTGATTATTTGGATGAGAATGAAACTAAGGGTGTACTTAAGATTGAGGTCAAAAGTGAACAAATCAATTTTTTATCAATTATGAAGGAGCTAATGTAACCTATCCATATTTATGAACGCACTGTATATGTAATTAATATATACTCTAGTTGATGGCTTAATAGTTATGAATAAATATCAACCTGTAAGGTATGCGTGTGGCAAGGTTTCTTAAAATCGAAAACGAAACATTTACTCGCTCTATCAATCTTAGTAATTCAATATTATTGATTATCTATCAAGATTACTTATCAGAAACATAAATTATTTTGTCGAATATTCAAATCGAATCGCTTTTTCAACTTATCTTGAATGAGGTTATGTAATTAGCAGCTGATTTACACTGAATATCGTTATTTTTTTTATTATTTTAGTTCTTATTCGTATTATTTTTTTGAACTTATTTATATTTTGGCTAAATAAATCAAAATAATTGGTTTTACCATTTGATATTGCATTAGTTATTGATAATTACATTACATTCCTTAAAAAGAAGTAAACTCATTCCTTATATTAATTGATTAAATCATTAATTGGCACAAGAAAATGATTCAATTGATATTTAAAATCTAAAAACAAGTTTCATTAAATTTAAAATAATTTTTATTTGCTTTATTTATTTTTATTATTGTTATTATTTGTTAATTTCTTATGATTTTCGCGATGCAATGGAAACATTCTGACAAGCTTTTTTTTCCAACACGTCAGCGATATTTTTTTTGGTGTGCTAATTTGCACATAACACGTGTCTTTTTGTGGAACGAGATCTTCGGCTGTTTTTTTCACAAATTTTTGCGCGTGCTGCACATGTTTGTAAGTACCAATAAAATATATAATATTACATATAGGATGTCCCAGTAAAAATTATGACTTTTTATAAGATATTCAATGTTTAAAAAGTTTTGAAAACTTATAAGCAAAATCGCTAACTTTATTGTATTGAACGATTCAAGATTAAAATTATGAACTCATGTTTAGAAATTTGATACATATTGACATTAAGATATTGATGGGCTTAAGGGATATGATCAATTGATCAGCAAGCTGTTTTGAAGCAGAAGCACTTTTATACTCATGGATACAGCAACAGAACTAGTTAGTAAGTAGTTTTAGATATACAGGGTTGGATGTAATTGACGGAACACTAGTTTTATGGCTCTATTGGACAAGTAACAAAAAATTGCTGGATTTTGTTTAGTTGCGCATTTTTGGACATATATACACTATTGGATAAAAGTGAAGCAATTTTATTGACAAAATAAAATATTTAAATATTTAAAATAAAATAAGCTACCGTGGAAATCAAAATTTATGTTTTTGTCATGGTCATAGTAGGCTGCTGCCAAGGGTGAAATTTATTTCAACAATACTCTTTATTAGCGCGACCCAAATATAACAACTTTTAAGAAAAACATTTTTATTACATTTTTCAACTCAAAAATCACAAATACAGTTGAAGGATTAAAAAACTTGAAAATAAGTTCTTAATAAATATTAGCTATAACTCTTTGGTAACGCCGCACCTCCTAGCTCGTGAGCCAGCCTACAGATTTAATGTAGTTGACAACGTCACCAAGAGCTGCTTTTTTATATCGGCCGCTGTTAGCCAATGGGCCCGTTCACTTTTATTTTTGAATGTGAATTATTTATATATTTATAAAGATATTAAACTCTTTTGTCTGGTGGTACTTTTCCCATTAAGATATTTTTGCTAGAAGTAAGGGAATTCCCATAAAATTCTTTCAGTGACTCATTGCGTCAGAAAACCCCTAATTCCCTTCAGGTCTCGTATCGGTTAATAGTTAAAAGGGCGCGGTTGTCGGATGTATCATTGCACCACCATTCCTCTTCTGCATTTATTAAAGAAATTTACATGATAAAAATATATTATTATTTAAAAATAATGTGTTTATATTTTCAGATAAAGCTGGAAGCCCTACCTTTTTTAAATTTTAATAAAAACAATTAGTATTACTCAAGCTGAATATTACCAGATCGAAATTTTATTTGAGAAAATGTATCTGGTAAACGTGGCAACGTTGTAAGTACTTCTAAATAGTGTTGTCTACACACACTTCTAGAAATAAATGCAACGTTGCCACGTTTACCAGATAAATATTGCAAATCAAATTTCTACTTTTTGATTATGGTCTGGTTAATTTTCAGCCTGAGTAATAATAATTGTTTTAATTAAAAAGTAAAAAATAAGCTCCCAGCTTTAAATCTGAAAATATAAGTTCATGATGTTTAGAAAAATAATGAAATTTTACTATTTAAATTACATATATAAATGCAGAAATGCTATATTAGGGATACTTCCGACAACCCCGCCGTCTTTAAGCATAACCGATACGAGACGTGAACGGAATTAGGGATTTTCTGACGCAATGAGTCACTGAAAGAATTTTATGGGAATTCCCTTACTTCTAGCAAAAATATCTTAACGGGAAAAGTACTACCAGACAAAAGAGTTTAATATCTTTATAAATATATAATTAATTCACATTCAAAAATGAAAGTGAACGGGCCCATTCTCGCCAAACACAAATCTTCTAATCAATGAGAGCGTCGGAAAATCGTAAAGGATATGCTCGATGGTCTTATCTTCTTGTTCTCAAGGAGATACTTCCGTAGTTGGAAATATCCATTCAGAATGCCTGTGATCATATGCAGATTTTGTCTAGTCATAGTCAAGTTTGTTTTAGTGTTGTCAGGATAATTTAAAAGCTCTCTGGCAAGTCTTCAGCTTCTTGTTTCATCCCATCTTTCCTTGAATTCACAAGGGAATGTTCTTTAATTAAGTTTGTCACTACCGATTGTTAGTCCAATAGAAGGGGCAGGTCCAAAAAGTATTTGTTTAGCAGCCTTCTTCGCTTACTAGCACTGTGGCGTGACTTTCGATCCATCTTAAGTTGACCACATTGTTGATGGATATTTCGGCCAAAACTTCGTGATATTCTAGTATTAACGCTAAATAAATTCGTGGTCTATCCAGGGTAAGTAGTGCTTATCTGCTATATCTATAGATGAGCATGTTTCTTCCAGTGATATTTCTGGTGATTTCTTTTGCTGCTCTGTGAATCCCCGTGAGCTCGGTTTAAACTACGCTGGCACTACTGCTAACCTTCTATTTTATGTTGAGGTGAAAGGATCTGAAGTATATTCCACATCCTGAGCCTTGTCTTTTTTTAGGACCGTCGATGTAAATGCCTTATGGAAGAAATATCTCGGTGAGATAAAGACCATGTTCGCTTGAAGCTTGAGCGTATCGTGCGCCTCCTGCCAAAATCCACATCTCACCTTACCGGATTCTACATCAGGTTCTATTCCAACCGTGCGGAGGCATGTCATTGTCATCAGTGCAACCTCCTCGATGTAAATATCAAGAAGATTGAGACTAAGAATGACTTCCATGACTCTGATCGGTGTGGTTTTCATGGCACCTGTTATGTTGAGACATGCTGTTCTTTGACTTTGTTCTAGTTTGTGGATAGCTGTCAATTTTTGGTTTTTCAGTACCCAGAGGACTGCACCGTATGTTAGCATAGGTCTTATGATGGACTTGCATGCGACGACTATGGGGGAGAAACCCCAGGTGCCAGTGTTGCCAAAAAAAAAAAAAATGAAATTAAAATCACCAAATAGAATCTGTTGTAAATCACCAGAAATAAAATTACCTATACTTCTATGTAGCCTCATGTTTTTTATAGCCTTAATTCCACCAATTTGGTTTTTATTGCCCATTTTGCAGTTGGAAACTCCACCCAATCCAATTAAATTATTTCTCCCAATCTGAATTAAGTATAATTGGTTTTAAATTTATTAAATATCAGTTTTTAATTTTTTTTATTTGTATTGGTATTTAGAAATTGATCAAATTTCCCTTAGAT